GAGGCGGTGTAGCTGTCCGAGAGTTGCCTCGGGAACACGGGTCTGCGGAGGCTGGAGTGCCTCCGCCAGGAACTGGAGCGGCTCATCAGCATCAGCTGGGAGAGCAAACGGAGCCGCCAACGAGCCGCCGCCCGCGGCCACAAACTCCACGCCCGCAACGGGCGGAAGCGGCGGCAGATGGAGACGAGAACCAGGAGCAGGCGCCGATACAGCGGGAGAAGGAGCAGGTGTCACTTGGATCGGAGGGGGAGGCGCAGCAACAGGCTGCAGGTTCGGGGGGAGCGCAGCCGGACGAGGAGCCTCGTGGAGTGGCGAGGCGCGCAGCGAACTGCTCTGGCTCTGCGCCGCCCTCTCCTCACGAACCGCCCTCGACACTTCCCGCTGAAGATCCGCCATCGTCACAGGCGGGCGGAACCCCCCGCCATAAGCACGGGGACCTCTCCATTCCCCCTGACCCCCGGGGTGAGCAGGCCAGCGCGAATGTTGCTGGTACCGCCGTGGAGACTCATGCCGGCGACGAGAGGACTTGCGGTCTTGAGGGGGAGCAGGGGAATGCGGGCGCGACGAGCGACGGTCAGGCGACGGAGGGCGTGACGGCTGGCCTGCAGGAACCACCGCCGTCACAGCAGGGGCGGACTGTCCCGCCGCCGCAGGCGCAACCAACGGAGCCGGTTCGCCAGTGGTGGCGGACGCCGCCTTCGGCGACGAAGCAGAGGCCTGCACTGGCAGGCCGGGGACAGAGGCGGTCGGCGCAACAAGGTCGCCAGGGACAGCCGCAGGGGGTTCAGCAACACCCCCAGCAGGGGCAGACGCCGTCGACTCGACAAGGGGAGCCAGGGGGCCGGGTGCCGCAGGCGGAGCAGACGGAACAGCAACAGGAGCGGACGGCCCTGCCTCCGACCCGCCAAGGGGAGCCGCGAGTGCGTGGGGAGGAGTCTTTTCAGAGACTGTTGTCACGGGTTTCGGAGCCGGCGGTAGAGGGGGTTTCGTCGCCATGGTCGCCCTTTCGGGCCCCGCCGGAGGCTTGGCGGCCGCAGCCGACCAGGCGGCAACGAGCTCTAGCGACGGCTCAGGTGCTCCGGCAATCACCATCCTTAGAGCAGGGAAGCCGCGTGGCGAGGAGAGAAACCGTAAGCGGAATAGGCGGAGGACCAGAGAATGGGTATCAGGCGGCGGCACGAGCGGCTTTAAACAGAGCTGAGGAATCTAATGATGAAGATGAGCGGGACGACCCATCTTATAGGGAAGAAGCCCTTCCCGAGAGCGAGGAGGAAGAGACGGAGGGGGAAGGCATGGCGAGAGAAGGATCAAGGAGAAGGGAAGAGGTGGTGCAGCAGGCGGAATTGCAAGAGCCAACGTTGCCTCAGCCACCATCCGATGCTGATCGTACGGATGCAAATCCAACCTCAGGCCCACCAATGAGATCGGGCCGCGCTGGGAGAAATCGAACCGCCAATGCCGGTACAGCGGCACGCCCACCAGCGACAATTCCCCGCTACTTTTCACCAGACGAGCTGGCGAAGCGGACAGACCTGTTCGCAGCCATCGCGAGCTGGGACATTCCAGCACTTTGCGACAGTCGTCAGCCTCCACTGTCGCGATGATTACCGCCAAACCTGTGTCAGCTTTTTTCGCTCGTGCTACTGACACCGTTACACCACCTATCGCGAAACCCTGATTCGGAAATGGGATGGCGCCTGCTGCTGTTTCTCCCGCGCCTGGCGCTTCGCCAGACCTCGCCTCAACGCCCGAACTGGCCAAGTGTCAAGAGCCGGCTCCGAGCTTTCCAGCGTGGCGAATGGGACCAGCTGTACCAAGACGCGTTGAACGCAGTCAACACACCGCCCCCGCCAAGACATCGGCCAGATGTGACAGGTGTCATCAGCCGTGCAGAGAGCCTGGCGAAACGTGGCAGTCTGCGCCGAGCCGTGCTGGCCCTCGAGTCAACGCCTGTCTGCACACCCAGCCCGGAAATATTGGAGGAGCTTCGGCGAAAGCACCCATCTGCCGCAGACGAGGCAGTGACGTGGCCGGAGCCGCAGGGGTCAAAGCTGTCAATCCCCCACCCTGACTTCGCAAAAATGTTGGGACGATGCGAGAATGGTGTCGGAGCCGGACCGTCAGGGATGACATTCGAACACCTGTGCGACGCGGCAATCACCAACGCTATGGTCAGTACCCATCTGCACGCCTTGGTCAACACTATGCTGGGAGGGAAATTGCCTGACTCGGTTGCAACCCTGCTGACGGCGTCGCGACTCATAGCCTTGGCCAAGCCAGGGGGAGGGGCCAGGCCAATCGCAATCGGCGAATGCCTGACGAGGCTGGCAGCGAAAGCTGCCCTGTTAATCATGGGGGAACCGGTCCGCGATTTCTTCCTACCACTGCAGTACGGGGTGGCAGTGCCAGGTGGAGCTGAGGCAGTAATCCACGCAGCACGGGCCTTCGCAGATGCCCGCCCGAACAGCCTGGTCCTACAAGCTGACATTTCAAATGCTTTCAACAGCATTTCGCGAATCGCCATCGCCAACGCGTTACACGAACCCGCCCTGTCACCACTGCTGCCGTTCGTGAAGCTGGCCTACGGTAACCCGTCGCAATTATTACTGGATTTCAACTTCAACAGCGAACCACTCACAAGTGAACGCGGCGTGCGTCAGGGCGACCCACTTGGGCCACTACTGTTTGCAGCAGGGATACACTCCACGCTTCGAGAAACGGCCGAAGCACATTCTGACGTGCTGTGCTTGGCGTATGCGGACGATGTCACCTTCCTGGGTGACACATCCCGTACTGTAGCTGCATTCAAACACTTCACGGCCAAGTTGGCACACCTGGGCCTCGAGCATAACCCCCAGAAATGTGCTGCCTGGAGTTCAAGCGCGATCGACACAGCCTCCCTCCCGCCAGGAGTCCCGTTCTCGAAAGATGGCGTGCGGCTGCTGGGTAGTTTCGTGGGGCAGGACAGCGGCGCAGCCCAGTTCCTAGCGGGACAACTCGCGGAGATGTCAAAACCCCTACCCTTACTCGAGCGGGCAGACCCCCAGGTTGCAGCGCTGCTACTCACGCGCTGCATCTCACGACGCGTTGCTTACCTCACCAGGACGACACCACTCCATCTCCTCCCCCGGGATCAATGGAGCCAGTGGGGTAGGGATCTGCTTACCACGCTGCTCACATCGTGCGATATCCGCGTCCCGACCTGTCGAAGCGAACAATCGCGGGTTTGGGAACAAGCATCGCTGCCTCCATCGTTAGGAGGCCTGGGCATCACTGACCCACTAGTCGAGGGGATTTACGGATTCACAGCAAGCTTCACGCAGGCGGCACTCTATATCAGTTCCCTACCGCTAGAACAGGATAACGCCCTCGCACTAGCACGAAACCATATGCTACTGCCGCCGGTTGACGGCACACCGCTACACACCTGGCTGACCGAGTGCGAGGAGGCACTGCCGTTAGATGCGCGAGAGATTCTGGAGAAGGAGCGGCTAGAGCGGTCTGACATCCGGCTCCAGCATGTGCTAGGACTCAAGGTCCGCGGAAGCAGATATGCAGTGCAGGTGCGGGCGACGAGGCGTATGAAGCCGAATCCGCTTGCGGGTCACACGCAGCGGATGTTCTCACTCACTGGCTGACCGCGATTCCCATCGCTCCTGCACGGCGGATGGGGCCGGTGCACTTCGCCAACGCCGTACGCTTCCGCCTGGGCCTACCGTTTTCCACCCCCAAAAACTGTGACTGCGCAGACCACACGGCTATCACTGACCCCCGCCTCCCGAACCACCTGCTCCGCTGCGGCACAGGCAAGCATCGCACAAATACGCACAACGAGCTGCGAGACGCCTGCGTTAGCATGGCGCAAGACGCAGGGTTTATCGTGCATAGGGAGTCAGCGGCGTATTACCCTATCGAGGAGCAAACCGCCGACTTCACCATGACTGATCGCAGCAGTGGGGCGGTTTACATCTGCGATGTTACAATCACTGACCCTATCAGCACTAGGGACCCGGAAGCACAAAAGGGCAGGGGATGGGCGGCAAGGGAACAGGCCGACAAGAAGATCAAGCATTACGCCAACCGCCCAGAGACGGTTGGCTTCTTCCCCCTAGCAGTCGACACCTACGGCTGTCCTTGCGCCGAGGTGCCGGTCTTCCTCAAGCTCCTGGCAGACACAGCGGCTCGGCGCCACTTCAACGCCGACTCAAACTCCTACTACGCCGCCAAGTTTCTGCACCAATTCAGGCAGCGGTGGTCGGTGGCCCTGCAGAGAGCGCAATCCGTGGGACTCCTCCTTAAGTTGGGCGAGGCAGCAGCGGCAGAAAACCCCCCTGTGGGTGGCATAGGGCAGGAGCTGCACCTTGGGGATTGCTTCGCGGTAGTTGAGCCTTTTCTTGAGCTCTAGAGGGGCGGTGTTGTGGTAGTTGTGTGACTGGTTAGAGTTGTTTGTTTGGTTAGCTGACCTTGCCATCCATATCTTGCATGTCTGTACCTTCCAACTCTATCAATATACGGACCATTAGAGAGAGAGAGAGAGAGAGAGAGAGGATTCTAGCCTCTGCCCTCTCCCTTTAGCCTCTGCCCTCTCCTCTGTGAGCTATATAAGAGGCCTCTCTGGGCCTCTTCATCTCATTGTTCAGTTGGTGCTGAAAATTTCGCTGGTTCGAGAGAGCGAGAGAGAGAGAGAGGATTCTAGCCTCTGCCCTCTCCCTTTAGCCTCTGCCCTCTCCTCTGTGAGCTATATAAGAGGCCTCTCTGGGCCTCTTCATCTCATTGTTCAGTTGGTGCTGAAAATTTCACTGGTTCGAGCGCCGGCCGCCTTCGGCGGCCGACGCTCGACAGCGCGGCCTCCGGCCGCGCGTGAGGGGACGACAAGCACACAAGGCGAAACAAGATCGACTAAAGCAGCAGGATACACGCATGGCAAGAGCGGAGTTCTACTAGAGGGGTCTTGATGGGGCAACAAGAGAATGCAACAGGGGAGGAAGCCCCGCCGGGTACTAGTATTGATCCGCGTCGTGAACCGCAAGAAGCCCAGTCTGAGATCGGTGAAGCTCCCGCACCACCGCCGCGCTTGCGCCGATCACTTCGTCTCCAGTCCCAGCGCGCAGGACCCGCTTCAACCCACGGACAGCCGTTCCAAGCTGCCCAACGCCCGCAATTACACCCCGCACGGGCGCAGCCAGCACGGGCGCCAGGAGCTCGGCGAGCCGATCCGCCGCATCAAGGCACTCGTCCCGAGGGCCTCCATCCAGGGAATTCCCCTGGAACAGAGCAGCATGACCGTACACCTGGATCAGGTGGATGGCTTGAAGGGCCTCACAGAGACGCCACATCTGCGCCAGGCTCGCTTCCGGGACCTCAGCCATGCGAGGAGGCCCAGGCAAGGTCGGGAGGAGCGGAGCATCAAGAACAGACGGGGGGGCGGGATCAGCGGCCAATAGGGGCGGGTACTGTGCCGTCACCGCTCCTCCTGCCGCAGTCACAAATTCCAGTCCCGCAACTGGAGGAACCTGCGGTAGCCGCAAGCGGCGGTCACGTACGGCAGCAGAGGCGGCAGGAACGGAGGGAGCCTGAGCAGAGGCAAGAGGAACGGGAGCAACAGCCGGACGTGACGGAGCGACAGTCACAGGAGGAACAACCGGAGGAGGAGCCGCAGGAGCTGGAGCACGGCGCTGCACCGCCCTCTCCTCGCGTATTGCCGCTAAGACAACACGCTGCACGTCCGCGAGGGAGATCGGCTGAACCTACGCCGAGCCGCCGCCGTAACCGCGACCTCCCCCCCATCCACCACGACCGCCATGTTGTGCATGCCAGTTCGCCTGCGAATGGTTGCGCCGGGGAGAATCACGACGGCGTCGTGACGACTCCCGCTCCTCACGAGGCGCAGGAGAATGCGGGCGAGAGGAGCGCTGGCCCGGCTGCTGACCCACAGGTGCAGCAACAGGCGCCGCCTGGACGGCCCCCGCTGGCGCCACATTCGGGCCTGGGCCGCAAGTGGTGGCGGACACCGCCATTGGCGACGAACCAACAGCCGCGTCGGGGGCAACAGGGACAGCAACGGCGGGCAGTGCCGCAAGGAGTTCAGGCACGAGCGGAGCAACCCCAGGTTCAGCAACTGCAGGCGGTCCCGCAGATTCCACAGGGACAGCCGGCGGACCAGGCGCGGAGGGCGCGGGACCCGCAGGAAGGCCCGGCTCAGCAACGGGGGCAGACGGGGCAGGCAGGAGAGGCGCCGGAGCCTCACACGACACGAGGTCCGGAGCCGGAGACGCAGAGTCAACAGCGACCGCGGGCGCTGGCTTCGGGGCAGGGGGGACTGGTGGCTTCAATGCATCATTCCCCGAGGCAGACATCGGCGGTGACCTTCCGCTCGCCGCTGACGCAGCGGCAGTGGGCTTTGGCGATGGCCACGAGTCGCCAGCAATCACCATCGCGAGGCGGGAGGAGACGAGGAGGAGGACGCCGCGAAGGACGGGGAGTTGAAGGCGGACCGGAGAACGCGTTCCAGGCGGCGGCACGAAGGGCTTTTATACAACTCGACGAGAATACTGACCCTGAGGAGCAAAACGACCCGTCTTATAGAGAGGAAGCACAAGAGCCGAGCGAGGAGGAGGACGAGGAGGATGAGAAAGAATAGACGACGGGACGAAATGGAGGGAACCAGAGAGGATCGGGGGTGCAGGCAGGAGGCGCTCAGGGACCACAGGATGTGGATCCGACGGTCACCATTCCAAACCCGCCCTCAACTCGTACTTCGAGCCGCGGGCGCACAAATCGAGCAGCAAGGGGTCTGGCAAATGCGGCTTGCTAGTCCCAAAGTCCGCGCTATTTTTCGCCGGAGGAGCTGGCGAGGCAGACGGAAAAATTCGCCGAGGTGGCGGGGTGGGACATTTCGCCACTCTGCGATAGTTGCCAACCAACTCTGTTACGACGGCTACCGCCAAACTTGTGCGAGATCTTCTCGCTCGTAGTGCTGACACCACTCCTGCACCTCTCGCGAAGCCCAGACTCAATCGCGGGTTGGAAGTTACTCTTATTTCTCCCGCGCCTGACTCTGCGACAAGGTTCGCCGAAACGACCTGATTGGCCCAAAATCAAGGCACGGCTCCGTGCTTTTCAGCGCGGTGAGTGGCAGCAGCTGTACTTGGACGCGGTTGAAGCAGTCAACACACCACCCCCACCACGTCATCACCTGACGACGTGGGCACCATCAGCAGAGCGGAGGGCCTGGCAAAGAAAGGGAGTCTGGGCCGGGCCGTGTTGGCGCTCGAGTCAACACCAGTCTGTACGCCCAGCCCAGAGATTCTGGAGGAGCTTCGCCGAAAGCATCCCGCAGCCGACCCTGAACCCCTGACCTGGCCTGACATCACCGAACCTCCCAACCTTGAAATTTCCTACGCGGATTTCTCGAAAATGCTGAGTCGATGCCAAAACGGCGTCGGGGCCGGCCCGAGTGGAATGACATTCGAACATCTTCGCGACTCGTCAGTAACCAACGCATCTGTCTCGACCCATCTGCACGCCTTAGTAAATACGAACCTGAGGGGGAAACTGCCGCTGCCAGTTGCAGAACTGCTCACATCATCTCGTCTGATAGCTCTGGCCAAGCCTAAGGGTGGGGCCCGCCCAATAGCGATTGGAGAAAGCCTGACCCGCCTGACTGCAAAAGCTGCGCTGGCAGCCCTGGGCGAAGCGGCCCGGGGTTATTTTCTCCCTCTTCAGTATGGTGTAGCTGTGCCAGGAGGGGCGGAGGCAATCATCCACACCGCTCGAGCATACACGGATGCACACCCCAACTGCCTCACGCTACAGACAGATATTTCCAACGCCTTCAACAGCATATCGAGACAAGCCATAATAACAGCTTTTCAAGACCCGACACTCTCACCCCTCCTGCCACTAGTCAAGCTGACATACGGCCACCCATCATACCTAGACGCTAGCTTCAGTAGCGCACCACTGAGAAGTGAACGTGGGGTGCGTCAAGGGGACCCCTTAGGTCCGCTCCTGTTTGCGGCTGGGATCCACCCTGCATTAAGAGAAACAGCAGCAGCACATCCCGGCGTCCTATGCCTGGCATACGCCGATGACGTCAGCTTCTTAGGCGAACACCGTGATACCGTAGCTGCCTTTTTGCACTTCACGAGCCAATTATCTCAAGTAGGTCTGCGTCACAACCCGGGGAAATGTGTCGCATGGAGCAAACACACGATAGACCAGGAAGTGCAGCTGCCGCCCGGGGTGCCGACTAGTACTGATGGTGTCCGGCTTCTCGGTAGCTTCTTAGGGACAACAGACGGTGCCGCTTCCTTTCTGTCCGCGCAGCTTCAGTCGATGTCCAAACCACTGCCACTGATAGAACGGATGGACCCGCAAGTCGCATCTCTCCTACTCACTCGCTGCATCTCACGCCGAGTAGCATATCTCACGCGAACGACCCCCCTGCATCTTCTGGACAGAGACACCTGGTCCCAGTGGGGTAGGGACTTGTTAACCACCCTCCTTACAGCGTGCGGCATCCGCTTTCCAACGGACGGAGAAGAACAGACCCGGGTTTGGGAGCAGTCGTCACTCCCACCGTCGCTTGGGGGCATAGGACTCACAGACCCGATGGTGGAGGGAACATTTGGCTTCCTGGCCAGTTTCACACAAGCATCCCTCCTCCTTAGTGCCCTGCCGATAGAGTCAGAAGGGGCCTTGACAGCGGCGAGGAACCACATGCGGCTTCCGCGAGATAGCACCACCGCTCTGCACAGCTGGCTGACCGAATGCGAGAGAGCACTGCCACAGGAGGCCAGGGACGTCCTAGATAAGGAGAGACTCGAGCCTTCAGATCTAAAGCTGCAGCACGAGCTCGGGGTGAGAGTGCAGGGGAGGAGGTACGCCAAACAGGTACAAGCAACACGGCGCATGCGACTGAACCCATTGTCAGGCCATACCCAACGATTTTTCTCACTGACCGGCTACGGCACGGGGGATTGGCTGACTGCAATCCCAATAGAACATACCCGCAGAGTTGGTCCCGAGCACTTCGCCAATGCCGTCCGCTTCAGACTGGGGCTTCCCTTCTCTACACCCAGAAACTGTGACTGCTCTAAGCATGTAGAGATCACAGACCCCCGGCTGCCGAACCACCTCTTCCGCTGCGTAACGGGCAAGCACAGGATCAACACCCACAATGAACTGAGGGATGCGTGTATTACGATGGCACAGGACGCTGGCTTCATAGTTCACAGTGAATCAGCTGCATACTGCCCCATAGAAAAGCAGACCGCCGACTTCACCATGCGTGATAAGAGCTCGGGGGCGGTCTACGCCTGTGATGTCACCATCACGGATCCCATTAGCACTAGGGATCCCAATGCCACTAAGGGGAGGGGATGGGCAGCAAGGGAGCAGGCTGACAAGAAAATCAGCCACTACGCTAACCGGCCTGACACGGTCGGCTTCTTCCCCCTTGCAGTTGAAACGTACGGCTGCCCCTGTGCGGAGGTCCCAAAATTTCTGAAGTTACTAGCGGATACAGCTGCTCGGCGTCACTTCAACGCCCAACCTACCTCTCACCATGCAGCTCGGTTCCTTCACCTCTTCAGGCAACGCTGGTCCGTGGCTCTGCAAAGAGCCCAGTCGGTTGGATACCTCATGAAGTCCTCTCAAGCGGCAGTCGCTGAAAATCCCCCCGTGGGGGGGGTGCAGTCCGAGCTTCACCTTGGGGACTGCTGTACCGTGCTTGAGCCTCTTATGGAGGTCTAGAGAGACACTTGTGCTTTGATTGTTAGTTTTTGTGCTTGTTTGCCTCTGAATCCTAGCTATAGTTTGCATGATTGTACCCTTTGGTTATATCAATACACGGACCATTAGAGAGAGAGAGAGAGAGAGAGAGAGAGAGAGAGAGAGAGAGAGAGAGAGAGAGAGAGAGAGAGAGACAGAGAGAGAGAGAGAGAGAGAGAGAGAGAGAGGCCCTGGATCTAGTCCTTGGCCTCTCCCACCCTCTCCTAGGTAGTATATTAGGCCTAGATCCTCTTGCTAAGCCTCATTCTTCAGTTCTGGGTTGTAACTACTCTCAAAACCGGCGCGTGAGGGAAGGCAAGGGGAGAAGGAAGGCAAGCAATATAGCAGGGGGTGTTACAACATGCAGCCTTAGAGATCTACAACAAATGCAACACCCCCAGGCGAGGAGATTCCGCCATGGGGAAGCCTAAGGCCAAGCCCAAAAGCAAGGAGGCGGGCAGTGGGAAGAAAACAGCTACTCGGCAAGGATCCACGACAGCCGCCCGTCCATCCAGCGTAGCACGGATGCGGCTGGTACAATGTCGAGAGGGGCCTGCAAGGCGGCAAGGACCAGCAGCCTAAGTGCAGCGGGGCCAGGGCCCAACGCGGAGCCAGGAGAACCCCGAACGAGTCCGATCGCGGGCAACAACCGCAACATCTCGGTCGCCGCGGCTACCGCCTCCGACCGTTCCTGCTGCGACATCACGGACGGCCCAACTGGAGGGCGAGGAAGCCGCGATAGCCGCGTCTGACAATGGTGCAGCTGCTCCAGAACCATTGCCACAAGGGTCAAACAGGTCCCTACGTTCGATACGCGCTGCTTGACGCGCAGAGCTCCGTCGGCAGGATGGGAATCCTTCCACAGGCTCCAACGTTGCTGCGGACTCTGAGGGGGAGAGACCTCCAGCGCAGAAGGAGACAGTGACTCCCACGGGAATGCACCGTGAGACTGAAGATGGTCGGGGGATGGGATCCCCTCGGGAGACACCGATGAGGGAGGACCTTCAGGAGCGGGAGGCGGAGAGGGAGTCGGGCGCAGTTGCGGTTGAGGCGTCGGCTGGGGAGTCCCTCGAGGCTGCTGGTGATTCCGCCGCTGTCGCTGCATATCCACATGGTGACCAGGGCGAGGCGGGCGATGGGGCTGGCACTGGGTTCGCCGGAACGCCTGCTGCTGCCGTGGCCTCAGAAAGGCCTGAGTGCGACCAGGGGGAGAATGGTACACCGATCCGCGGGACCCCTGGCGGCGGGAACGCTCCCCGCGGGAGGAGCGTGAGGCTCCGCACCCGACCAGCACCGAGGCGGCCTGGAGCAGGGCTGACGCATGGTCGCCCGGGACCCCTCCTGGGCTGGCTTCTGCCAGCGCCGCCGCGACCAGAGCAAGTGCATCGACCGACATCAACGACACGACCTGCAACGCAAGAAAACGGGGGGGCAACGGCAGATGAGTGTCACGCACCACAGGACACGCCTACTCGTGACGAGACCGCAGCGGCAGAAACACGACCGCACCAGCAAAACTCACAGCCGCCGACACGACGGGAGACGAGAAGCGCCACGCGTGCCCAAGGAGTTACCTGGGGTCAGCCGCGAGGCTTGCCCAACGTCCCGTCGAACGGCCCGTGGATCCCGGCGGGAAGAGCGCCACAGGCGGCGCAGGGTGGGGGAAGAGCCGCGGGACGAGGGGCCCGGGGCGGGGGGAGAGGAGCACGAGGGGGACGAGGAGGACGAGGTGCAGTGGTTGGCGGGAGGGCGGCACTGGTGAGATCAGGAACGTGGCGGGAACGCCACGACCGACCGGAGCAGGTGGTTCCGCCAGCGAATCAGGTTGAAGGCGACTCTGAATCGAGTGGTGAGGGAGAGGACTATGTAGCCTCGCTATCAGTTGCCTCGGAGGAGATCTCGTTGGGTGAGAATGAGGATGATCAGACCACGGCAAGAGCTTGTTGGGAAAGGGGGGAACCCAGGAGAAACGCGCAGGAAGGGGTACGGGAGGAGGGAGTAGCCAATGGGGCTCAGGGGGAATCAGGCGTCAGATCCCCACGGAATCTCGCGGAAGATACATCGCTGTGGCAGGAAGCGGCCACGTGAGGCACCTGCCGCCTGATGAAGGGCGAACAGCCATTTTTGGTCCGCCGAATGCCCCCCAAAATATTGGAGAGCTACACGCTCTGCCTTCTAACGCCACTGATTTGGCTGTCAAAAACCCCAGACTGCCCAGGTGCATGGGTGATTCTACAATTCCTCCCGAGGTTGACTCTTCGCCCAAAGCCGGAACCAGTTGAGGGCAGCCGCTGGACAGAGATTGAGCAGCGGCTACACCAATTCCAGCTCGGCAACTGGCAGGGACTCTTCAATGAGGCCAGGGACGTCCCCGCTAGTGAAGGCCCGTTCGACACCAGCCGGACGAGGCAGGCCTTTGTGCAAGAGCTGAGGGGCTGATTAAAAAGGGCAACATTTCTAAGGCAGTTGCGTCACTCCGAATTACACCACTCGCAGCCCCAACACAAGACACCCTGGCAGCACTCTTATCGAAGCACCCAGCAGCGGAGACCCCAACACCGAGTCTGGTTACAGGGCACACCACTTCATCACTGGGTGTGACGCCGGACGACCTCCGCAAAATCCTGGCGAAGTGTCCAAACGGGGTTGGAGCGGGCCCTTCGGGAACGTGCTTCGATCACCTCAAAGACCCGGCCCTAATAAACGGGGAAGTCCTACTTCTCCTCAGTAAAGTCATTTCCTACCTGCTCGGCACACTCCAGACAGAGCCCGTTCGTAAGCTGCTGCTTCCATCTAAGCTTATCGCGCTAGAAAAACCGGGAGGAGGGGTTCGACCAATTGCGAACGACGAAGCGATGCTGCGGGTCACTGCTAAGGCGGCACTTTGGGAGTTAGCGCCGAACATTAGGGATTTCTTTCTCCCAGTGCAGTTTGGGGTGGCGGTCACGGGCGCCGCCGAATGCATCATCCACTCTGTCAGAGCACTCCTTAAGGAGGACGAGTCGCGGGTCGTGCTGCAGCTAGATATTGAAAACGCGTTCAATAGTGTCGAGCGCTCGGCGTTCTTCAACGTACTCTCACAATCTAGTCTGCTGCCGCTCCTGCCCTACGTCCTCACCCTCTATGGAGCCCCGTCACGCCTCCTGGTAGATCACCGCCTCGGTGTGGATCACATCTAGAGTTCACGCAGAGTGCGTCAAGGAGACCCACTGGGGCCGCTCCTCTTTGCAGCCGCGATACAGCCGACCCTGCTAGGCACGGCGATGCTCCAACCAGAGGTGGCGGTGGTAGCATACGCCGATGACATCACCATAGTGGGACCACGAGGCGCGGCCCTGGAGGCTTTCGAGACTATCACCAGGGGACTCGCCACGGTTGGCCTCCGTTGCAACATCAGCAAATCGTCGGTGTGGTGTCTGTCAGGAGATGAGGGGGCCAAGGCAGCAGCACAAGTGGGACTACGGCGTAGCGCTGAGGGAATCAAGGTTCTGGGAAGCCCGATAGGCACCCCGGGATTCTGTGCTGCCCAAGCACAGTCACGGCTGGATGAGGCATCGGAGCCTCTGCCCCTAGTTTCCCAACTCCACCCACAGAGTGCGATGCTGATCCTCGCGAGGAGCCTCTTCCGCAGAGTCTCCTACCTGCTGAGGACAACATCGGCGGGGGTCCTGGAGAGGCGTGAATGGAGGTCGTGGAGCGAGGGGTTACTGTCTTCTGCATTGGCGGCGGCGAAGCTCCGCGCACCCACAAGCGAACTAGAGCAGAGCCTGCTGTGGCGCCAGAGCACTCTGCCGGTTAGACTGGGGGGCCTAGGCATCATTGACCCCCTCTTAGAGGCACCGGCGGCCCACATCGCCTCAATCAGAGCGGCGGGGGAGCTGTTACGACATATGAACTTACCGGACGGATGCCTCCTAAGCAGGGCGGTGCAGCTGCTCGACCATGGCTGGACCCCTCCCCCACCAACTGTCAATCCCCTGACCTCACTTGAAGCGGAGCTGCCGATCACAGCCAGAACAGCACTGCGGGCATACAGGGAGCAGCCGGTGGGGCAGGGTAACCTACAGCTTGCACTGTCTCGCCATATCTACGAAGCAAAAGCGGCAGAGCTCGTAGCTGACACGATTGAGGATCGGCCAGGAACAGACTGTGGCCATGCTGTACGCCTCATAAGCTTGCAGGGAGTTGGAGCAGGGGACTGGCTCCATGCCATACCAACAAGGACTGACCTTACATTTGCCCCTGGTCAGTTCTCGTTGTCTCTAGGCTTCCGCCTAGGCATGGCATTTCCGGTTACCCTGACCTGCCCCTGCAAGCGGGAGAACTCCTCGATTACAGACACGAGCCTCGCGAATCACCTGCTGCGCTGTGGGAAAGGAGACGATGTGGTGAGGACACACAACGCCCTCATGTACGCCGTGCTCAGGATGGCGAGGGAAGCGGACTTCACGATCTTCCACGAAACCACGGCATTCTCCCCAGGAAGAGAGGGGATCTAGCCATACGTGATAAGGAGTCAAAGGAGACTTTCTTAACGGATGTTACTGTTACGGACCCGGTACTTCAGCGCCGCGACACACGTGCACGGAAGTCGCCAGGATGGGCGGCGAGGGAAGCCTCTGAGAAGAAACATCGGCTGTATGAGGGGAGGCCGGACTATGTGGGCTTGTTCGGGCTGGCGGTAGAGACCTATGGTGCCCTGACGATAGATACCCAGCAGTTCCTGCGCCTGCTAGCCACTTCGGCGGCAAAGAAAAAGTTTCGCCAAGGGAAGCTGACTACCACCACGGCCAAGCTGAATGCGCAGTACAGGCAGCGGTTTAGTGTGATGCTGCAACGTTCACAGGTCACTTCCTTCCTCAACAAGTCCAACCTGGGTGATGTGGCAACTTTCACTCAGGGGGGCAGGGATCCTTGGGAACCGAGCCTGGGGGACAGTTCCCAATGAGGGATCCGTTGCCCTGCAAAGGGCACAGGCCGTGAGTTTCCTTTTCAAACAGAACCTCGCAGCTCAGCTAGAGAACCCCCCTGTGGGTGGGCCGGAAGGAGTCCTGAACCCCGGGGATTGCTTTGCAACCCTTGAGCCCCCCCTTGATTGCACCTAGGTGTGTTCGTTCGTGATGGTAGTGTGTGTGTTAGAATGATGGCTAATTTGTTAGTTTGTTTGCTAGTTTGCTCCTATCTTGTCCACTTGCATGTTTGTACCCTTCGTTTCATTAATACAAGGACCATTCGAGAGAGAGAGAGAGAAAGATGGTACTTCAAAATGGTACCAACCAACGACTGGAACGGCTGTGCATCTCTACCAACCTGAGGAGTGGGATCGTCAGGCTCGAGGGACACATAATGTGCCGTCACCGCTCCTCCTGCCGCAGTCATAAACTCTATGCCAGCCAAAGGGGGCACCCACGGCTGCAAGCGAGCTCGCGATGCGGCGGCCGATGCAGCGGGAGCATGATGAGGAGGAACAGCAGCCCGAGGAGGAGTCGGCGCGATCACTGGAGGTGCAGCCGGAGGAGTTGCTGCAGGAGCCAGAGCAACGTGCTGCGAGCTACTCAGGCTCGTTTGCCCAGCCAACTCTTCGCGAATCGTGGTCGTTACAACCCGCTGCACATCAGCGAGCGCCAGCGGCTGCACAAACGGACCCCCATAATCGCAACCACGACCGCCCCTCCACCCACTGCGACCGCCTCGGTGCGTCGGCCAGCTCGTCTGTGTCAGGCGACGCCGGGAAGAATCATGTCGCCGCCTCGACTTCTCTCGCTCCTCACGCGGCGCATGGGAGTGGGGCCGATGCTGCCGGCGGCCAGGAGACGGCAGAGAAGCAGTAGTCAATGGAGGAGCCGATGGCACAACGGCGCCCCCCGCCTCCCCGGGGCCCGGGCCGCCAGCGTTGGCTAAGCCGGCAGAGCAGCAGCAGTCGATGCAGGAGCCGACGGCGCAACGGCACCCCCCGCCTCCCTGGGGCCCGGGCCGCCAGTGTTGGCGGACACCGCCTGCGGCGACGAACCAACGGCAGGGATCGGCGCAGTAGGAGCAACAGCGGCAAGCGGTGCAGCAGGGACCGCGGGGACAGACGGCGCAACAACTAGAGCAGGGGGTTCCAGGGCAGCTCCAGGAGCAGGGGGGACACGCTCCGGGCACAGAGGGGCAGGCGAAGCAACGAGGGGAGCAGCCGGAGCGTCCATCGCCTCAGGGCCCTCAAGAGAACCAGACGGCATAACGAAAACCCCGGGTGTGAGGGGACGAGGGATTCCAGAGGATGTTGTCGCGGCCTTCGGAACCGGAGGCACTGGAGGCCTCGTCGCCATGGTCACCTTTTCGCCCTACGACAGGGGCCTGGCGTCCACAGCCGACACAGTGAGAGCGCGCATTGGCGACAGCACAGACGCACTGGCAATCACCATCTCGGGGGAGGGGAGGTCGTGGCATCGGAAGACAGGCAGCTAGCGGAGTTGGCGGGGGTCCGAAGAACGGGTTTTAAGCAGTGGGGCGCAGGGCTTTAATCGATCTGGAGGGGAATAATGATGCAAACCAGAGAGCAGACCCCACTTATAGGGAGGAACCACTCTCCGTCAGCGAAAGTTATAGCGTGGAGGATGGTGAAGGGAATCAAGATGCTGCCGAGAGGGAAGGAACGGTGGTAGGCCATGGTGCCGCACCCAGTCTGGAAGCAGAAGAAGGGTCGTCCGTTGGTGATCGAATGACCACAATTTCAACAATTTTGCCAGCTACGAGATGAAGGGCGGCGTCCAACTGCAGTCACGAGAGAAAGAGTTTCACTTAATCTACGACGGAATACGCATTCGTAAAGCAACAAGCGAGGACGGAGTGTTCGTACTCAAATTTGACTCACGTAGAACCGTCGGCGACAGAGATCGCATCATCATCCTTGACCCGCCAAAACATCCATCGCCGCTCGCCTGGACTCATCCGGAGGAGACGAATCTGGAACGGCCAGGACCAGACTAACTATGCCGCGCTCTCGCCATGCCCGTCGCTTCGACTTCAAACTCTGTGTTGGTGTAAGGGCCTAATAAAACTCAAGTTAGTAAGACCTAATCAAACATATACCTCTCCTCGGGGTCACCTCCAAAGGTCCTTCGGTTCCTGGTACAAGACCAGCCCCTATCCTCGGGTCCCAGTTTGTAGAGAGAGGGACCAAGAATGACTTAGCCAAAATAGCAAGCGCACCTTGAATGTCGCGCAATGTATCGTGCAAATCGTTGATCGGATTAAGCAGAGAATTTGCTATATCGAAGCTCGTTCCAATAGCCTTAAAATAAGCCAAGTTGTCTTGCGAAAAGTTTTGCCATTACAAAGTTATGGCTCGGACAGCGTTTGCCTAGCATTGGAGTGACTAGCGTTGACTTGGGTAGCATTCCGCCGTCGAACCGCGTAGAAACAAAATTCCAGCAAGGAAGGAATTCGCTCGAATCAGTTTGACTATGTCGAGGTACAAACAGAGAAGGAATAAATAGTTCTAGCTAGCAAGGACCTTAAGAATCAACATGGGAACAACCAGGGATGATCACCAAATAATTCGAAGAAACAGAACCAACCTGGCTGGACAAAACAGCAGGATGTCGTGTAATGTGAATTTGCACCCTACTTCATGTGGACCAGAAAGATGCCTACTGTGTCCATGGCACGAGTGTGGGATTGCATGGCGCAGTACAAAGTGCCCGACCAGCAACGGAGGAAGCTGCATCCTAAGGCAGAATGGGGTATTTTCCTTGGGGTGTCGGAAGGGAGGAAGGCTTGGATGTTGTGGAGTGTAACAGATCAATGGGTGGTGGAAAGCCAGGACGTGGTTTTCCATGAGGGGCTGAGCTACAAGGGGTGGAAGGAGCATGGTGCTAGTACGGTTGGGAGTTCCCTCCAGGATACCTGTACAACTTCTATCTTTGAGGGGGCATGGGAGGACCCAAGAGAGGGGGTAGAGGAACAGCAAGAGGAACAAAAGGCAGCTGCACCTCACCATGAGGATTTCCCAACTGCTGGCTCCACCCCTGACCCTAACGCACCAGCCCATGACCCGGAGCAGACACAGGGGCAGCAGCAGCAACAAGAGAAGCCGCAGCAGCCACCACAACAACATACACCGCCTGTTCCTGTGGGTAGGTGGCAGCAACTACTGCAGCAGCAGCTGTCCAAGTCACCACGGTCCCCCATGAAGAGAGTGACTTGGAAGGAGAAGCTGCAAAGTTTGGAGCAAGGAGGGGGCATCACCTCTGCGCCGCACCACACGCATATCCCGGCCACCTGAAATGTTCACACCAAGTGTACAGTATGCTTGCATGCATGATCATGAGGAACATGATTGGGAGGAGTCCATGCTTTTGGATGCTGATGGGGGTGAGCATGGACTTGATTTTTGTCTTATGGGTCAGGTGCATGAACCTAAGTCGGTCAAGGAGGCCTTGTCCCGTCCTGAGTGGGTCGAGTCCATGCGTGAGGAGCTTGAGTCTCATAGGGTGAACGAGTCATTTGAGCTGGTTGGTCCAGCTTGTGTGCCACCTGGAATGGAGGTTTTGAGGTGTCAGTGGGTGTGGAAGTACAAGCACAAGGCTGATGGCAGCATTGACAGTCCTAAGTCCAGGTTGGTGGCCATGGGGAACACTCAAACACGGGGTGTTCACTATGACCAGGTATTTACCCCAGTGGGTAAGCCTACTACCCCGAGAGGCTCCCTTGAGATGGCAGCCTCCTTGGGGTTTCACTTCTATCACATGGTTGTGACGACTGCCTATCTTCATGGTGTCTTGAAGGAGGAGCTTTAGATGAGGCAGCCCCCTGGTTTTGATGATGGGTCCGGCAAAGTTTGCCAACTCAAAAAATCAATCTATGGGCTGAAGCTAGCTCCAAGGTAGTGGTATCTCAAGTCTGATGAGGCCCTGATGGATTTTAGCTTTGAGAGGTTGGATTGTGACCCCGCCTTGTACCACTTGGTGAGGCGTGAGGGCAGGCTGTCCCTCTACCTCTATGTGGATGACATTTTGCTCTTGTCTTCGAGCATTGTCTTATTGGATGAGGTCAAGGGTCTCTTGTCCTCTTGTTTCCGCATGAAGGACTTGGGGGAGGCTAAGTAATATTTGGGGGTGCAGATTGAGTGTGATGAGAGTGGCATCTTAATTCATCAGGAGCGGTACATTCTCAACATGCTTGAGTCATTTGGCCTTTCTAAGGCTAACCACGTGCGTACCCCTCTCCCTACAGTGTTCAACGTGCACGCACATGCTGAGGAGCCCTTGCTGAGAGATGAGCTAGTTCAGCTCTATCAAAGCATTGTGGGGTCATTCATGTATGCAAGCGCAACCACACAGCCCCATATTGCTCATGCAGTGTCACAGCTGCCCAAGATGGTGTCTTGTCCCAAGGCATTCCACCTGTAGGCTGCGAAGAGAGTGTTGATGTATCTGAGAGGTTGTGTAAAGTCAGGTATCTTCTTCCACGCACACTGTAAGCCTCAGGTCGAGTTGGTGGGCTTTAGTGATGCTGATTATGCTGGAGATTCAGCTAATCGCAGGAGTGACACCGGCTATGTCTATTCCCTCAATGGTGCAGCCATCTCTTGGCAAAGCAAGAGGCACCCGGTGGGTGCATTGTCCATCACTGAGAGTGAGTACACCAGTCTGCGTCAGTGCATTCGGGAGGGTGTGTGGCTGAAGCGTTTGTTTAGGGAGTTTGGGCATGAGTTTGCTGGTGGTGTGCCTATGTTTGTAAACAACCAGTCTGACATTGCACTTGCATAGAAGGCATGCTTGCATGGCCGCACCTAGCACATGTAGGTTCAGTAGCATTTCACCCGGGAGATGGTGGCTGGTGGCGAGGTGATCCTCCGGTGGTCCACCCGCTGCCCAGCGCGCAACCCGTGCCCTGCCTCGTACGCGCCTTGCCCACGCGCGTGCGCCCTGCCCCGCGCTGCTGCCTTGCACGCGCAGCTGCCCTGCCCTGCCAGCGGGCGTGCGCCCTGCCCTTGCAGCCCGCCCTGCCCGTGCGCGTGTGCCTTGCCCAGCGCACCTGCCCTGCCCCGTGCTCCCTGCCCTGCCCCGCACGCGCTGCCCGCGCGCGCCTGTCTTACCCGCAAGCGTCTGCCCTGCCTGTGCGTGCCTGCCCTGCCCGCAAGCGCCTGCCCTGCCCTGCCCACAAGCGCGCCTACTCTGCCCCACACGCGCACCTGCCCTGTCCCGCACGTGCTGCCCCCACGCGCCCGCCCGGCCGCGCCTGCCCTCCTAGTGCTGCTAGAGCTGCCCGCGCCCTACCTTACCCCGCAAGCGACCCGCGCTAGCGCACCCAGTTGCTCGTGCGCTTCCCTAGCCACCCTTCCACCGTTGCTACTGACTTCCACTGCCTGCCATGGCCACTCTTACTGTCGTAGCGGTTGACGCCGATGGGCGCCCTTTCATGTTCGACTTCTGGCTCGCTTGCCTGTACCGGTATCTTCGGAGTTTCGTTAGACATGGTGTCTCCCTCTTCGAACACACGTCGGGGTCCCTTCAGGCCCCCACGACTCCCACTGAGCCTGCTGCTAACGGTGGCGAGGCCGTGCAGTGGCGGTACCGGGCGGCCTGCGTTGCCTGCAAACAGTGGACGGAGCTTGACGCTGTCGCACAACTTGCTGTACGCGCACACCTGCCAGTCGACCAGAGGACCCTTTTTTGTCAGGTGACGTCGGCCCACACTTTCTACGATGCTTTAGTTAGGCACTACTTCTCACTCTCTCCTGCCACCTGGCCACTGCGCCAGAGCCGTCCATTGTCAGGGGAGTTGCAGCAGCTGGTCGAGGAGGCGAGTGTAGGTACCTGTGCATCTACTCCTACTGGTGGTGCCGCTGGTGGACGCGGAGGTTCTGGGGGTCGACAGCAGCGTCCGCCAGAGGCACTCTCGCCACAGCATCTTCGTGAGTGGGCTGTCCGGTGGGGCTGCCCTGGTGGCGGAGCTTGGGGTACTAGTGCTGGGGGTGTAGAGGCACCTGGTGGTGTAGCGGCTGCTAGTCTAGGTGCTTGTGACTCAACTAGCACAAGTGCAGAGCCTAAGGAGGCCTTGCACTCTTTCACTCTAGACTCAGGCGTGTCTCGCTGCTTCTTCCGCGACTGCATCACAGTCACACCACTCATATCCCTGGTCCCTATCACTCTGGCTGACCCCTCTTGTGCCCCAGTCGTTGCACGTGGCTCCACGGTTCTCCCGTGTCCGGCAGCCCCCTCCGGTTCCCTCACAAGTTTCCACCTCCCCTTGTTTGCTAAGAACTTGGTGGCTACCGCTGTCCTACAGGACCAGTTGGTCACTGGCACCCAGCCTGGGGGAGAGCTAGTGGCGATCTATACGAACTCACGCACTAGCGAGCACCTCGCCACATTCACTCGGAGGCCTGTGTCTGGCCTGTACATACTGATTACTGAGTCTGCACAGGTAGCTGAGTCAAGTCCGGTAGCTGTCTCGGGTGAGGTAGATGCGTCCTGTTCGTGTCAGCTATTCACGCACCCGGCTCTGCTTTGGCACCTCCGTCTCAGTCACCCCTCCCAGCTACGTCTTCACAGCATGCACTCCCGTCTCCTTGTCTCTGGCCTCCCCAGGTCCCTGCCCCCGCTCCCGAGGTTGCTTGCGCCGCCGTGCCTTCCCTGCGTCGAGGTGCGGCAGCACGCCACTCCTCACTCCTCGTTTCCTCCGACCACAGCTCCTCTGCAGAACCTCCACATGGACGTGTGGGGTCCAACCCGTGTCACTGGACAGGGCGGAGAGCGCTACTTTTTGCTGGTTGTTGACGACTACACGCACTACACCACGGTCTTCCCCTTGCAGAGCAAGGCGGATGTCCGCAGTGTCTTGATCCGCTAGATCCGCGGTCCGTCACCAGCTCATCACTCGGTTCCGGCAGGACCTCTTGGTCCTGCGACTGCACTCTGACCGAGGTGGTGAGTTTTGCTCCCACCTCCTCGAGGACTTCTGTGGTGCTGAAGGCATTCCGTCCTCTCCGTAGCATAATGGGATTGCAGAGCGTTGCATTGTCCTGGTCATGGAGGTTGCTCGCATCTCCATTGTTCATGCGGCTGCTCCCCATTTTCTGTGTCCGTTTGCGGTCCGATACGCCGCGAAGCAGCTCAACCTCTGGCCCCGTGTCTCCCACCCGGAGACCTCCCCTACTCTGCGGTGGACGGGAGAGGTTGGTGATGCATCGGCGATTCGGGTCTGGGGTTATATTGCTCTTGTCAACGAGAGAGGTGTTCGCTAAGACGAACCTATCCCTCGCTATAGTCAACTTCAAGCCGATCGTGAAAGGTGGGGGACCGTGTGACGATTGAGTCCACTCAAAAGGTGGGACTGTGTGACAATGTTGAATTGCCTCTCGTAATGGTTGAGAGGAGAAGAAGTTTACGATTTGGAAATTGCCGTGAGAAAAATTGTTGCAATATAATTCCCTGGGAGCGGATGTCTTGGGCGTTTTGTGTGTGAGTTTCAGATCTAACCTGACCTGAAGGAATGACATTCCTTCATGTCATCCATTAGACAGGTTAGCTTGAAGGGAATGCTTTGAGTCCTATTCTCAGGTTGAAAATAATTCGAGCAAACAACTCTGACAGGCAGACATTTGGGCCCACACATGCATACGTTCAGATGTGCAGGCTAACTAATTTGAAGGTTTTTTCCAACTCGAGACATCTTTTTAGGCCTAGATCTTCAGATATCCTAAGTCTTTCAATGGCGCTTCTACCTTCAGTGAATATTCAAACTCGGCTATCTTACCTTTCTTTGCGCCCGCGGCGGGCGGCGGGCGGGGTGGCCCCCACTGCGCCCGCGGCGGGCGGCGGGCGGGGCGGCCCCCACTGCGCCCGCGGCGGGCGGCGGGCGGGGCGGCCCCCACTGCGCCCGCGGCGGGCGGCGGGCGGGGCGGCCCCCACTGCGCCCGCGGCGGGCGGCGGGCGGGGCGGCCCCCACTGCGCCATTGTCCATTTGTTCCCACTGCAACTCTATGCAGGTCACGTGCTCGTCCTTCCCCGGCCCGGCGTGTAGTGCCGCTTTACAAGGACATGACTCCAGTCTCCTGAGGAGGTCACTGACATGTGACTGCTGGACAAGCAGACAGCACACAGCGCTCAAACTTACACTCACATCCGCTCGTTCTCCTCGCAGGTCACGTGCTCGTGCTGCCTCGCCGTGTGGTGCCTTGCTACAAGGACATGACTCCCGAGGAGGTCACAGACATGTGGCTGTTGACGAAGAGGATTGGGCAAGCTTTTGAACCTCACCACTGCTTCACATCATCTACGTGCACCATTCAGGTAGGCCAATGGCATGTGGGTATGAGGCTTTGCCTTGATAGCATTTGAACCCCATCACGGATGCACATTATCTACATACACCATTCACGTATGCTAGTGTTATGTGAGTGGCGTGGGACATTTAAGTGAGGTAATGGCATGGTCACAGACATGTGGCTGCTGGCGCAGACATGAGGCTGCACTCGAGCCCCACCACGGCTGCACCTCATCTACGTACACTATCCAGGTGTGTTGATGGGGTGTCACGCATGCTGTAACTCGTTCTGGGTGTGTCGTGACAGCAGCAGCAGCAAGCACTCCAGCCACACCACGGCTGCACGTGTGATGATGATGATGATAATATGTTGGTGGCATGGGGCTCCCATTCGGGCGACCCCCCCCCCCCCCCCCCCCCCCCCTCCCCCCCCCTCCCCTCCCATTCTGCCCGCGATGGGCGGGCGCCTCCCCGTACTTGTCCCTATCCACGACACGATCAGGTTGAGGGGAACGAGGAGGCGAAGAAGCTGAGGGTGGATGCAGAGGAGAAGAGAAGGGACTCTTGTCCCTTTCCTATATTTTGTTTGACTGTCCCTGTCCATGAATTTGTCCCTATCCATGGCACGATCAAATTGAGGAGAACGAGAAGGAGGCGAAGAAGTTGCGGATGGATGCTGAGGAGAACCGACCAGCCCGCAGGATGGATGCCACGGAAGCAGAGGCCAATGAGCTGAGATGGGTACTGGAGGAGTTTGAGAAGAAAGTGGAGGAAAGGAAGCGAAGTCAAAGGTACTACAGTGGGCCAGCTTGCAGTATGGATGACATGGAGGCAGAGGCCAGGGAGCTGAGGAGAGTATTAGACGAGTTTGAGAAGAAGGCGAGAAGTCAAGGAGGAAGTTAAAGGGGAAGAAATTCGCAGGTTATGGCCATGTGCTGCTACAGTAGGACAATGTCTAATGTGATTTATTAATATGATTGCGCTAACTTTTAGAGTTTTTTACACCTCTGAAGTCATTACTGTTCTATGGCATGGCATACTGTGCTCATCCAGAGCTGCATGACATGCCTAGTAGAAGCAGTCTTGCTCCTGCGAACAAGGAACAAGTGTATAGTGTATCAAACTAGATCGATGGAGCCATGAAATGCTTACAGCAATGCTCAACAATATGTGCACTCCGCACAATTGTGTAACACACAAGGTATCACCTTTCAACATATGCACTGTGGTTACATCTGAGATAAGGCCATGCACTGAGCCCATCGCTGACATGTGCCTCGTTGTAACACTTGAGAGACTCCGCTAGCCTTGAACTATATACGGTAGCACAATTGCAGACATACAAGCAGGGTTGTTAGTTACATCTGAGACAAGGCCAGCACCATCGCTGACATGTGCCACGTTGTAACACCTGAGGGACTCCGCTAGGCGAGTGGCAAGAAAATGCTTGCACTGGAAATCAAAGGGAAGGGAAGCGGAATAACGTTAATGCGCCTCAGTTGGAAAAACACAATATAGGAAGAAATCTTTGCCAATCATTGAAATTCGTCACTCTAATAGCTCGCATGTGCTGCAGCATTCATTTGTTATGACTCTAGAGTGCTTGAGTCGTGCAGTGGTGGTGCGAGAGTCAGATGTGGAATGACAGTGAGCTGCAGAGTTTTATTATTTCTGCTGCGCTACAGTAATTTACTCACCATGAGCTGCTCGCCACGAGAGACGGCGTCATAGTAGTGGTGTGACTGTAGTGGTGTGGCGGGCAGATTTACAAGAGCACGGACTTGTACTGCCTCGTTATAGGCTGCTGCGCTATAGCAGTATACTCACCATGAGCTGCTCGCCACGAGACACGGCGTAGTCGTCTGGCAGGCAGACAGAGAGCACGGACTACTGCAGCACTCACCATGAGCTGCTCGCCACGAGAGACGGCGTCATAGAAGAATGACTGGCAGGGGCAATAGTGGTGCGGCAGGCAGATGTGGTAGGCAGAGCTCTCGGGGTTGCCGCGAACCTGCATGGATGTCGATAAAGGTACAGTGCATTGAGCCAGGTGGCGGGTTTTGAGTCGAGAAAGTAATGAGTTTTGAGTTGACTCAAATATGACTAGCACGGGCAGTAATGGTGTGGCAGGCAGATGTGGAAGGCGGAGCTACTGGGGTTGCCGCGAACCTGCATGGGCGTCTACAAAAACAGGCTGAATGGAGCTGCTTGAATTAGGCAGGATGAAAGGAGGCCAACAAACACATATTCAAGAGCCTCATAAATCATCTGCTTGCCACAAACTTACATGAATTCCTAATGGGTTTGTGGATTTATATTGCTAAACTTTTGAAACCTCTTACTAATGGGTTTGTAAATGCATGTTAAAAGAACCAAATGAACACGCTCGAACCACTTACACAACACTTTGCTTTAGAGTGACTCATAACCGTTACTTCCTTCCACGCACAAAACAGGCAGGTTGAAACGATTAATGTTTTTATTTGTCACCTGATCTTCTGCATCTGGGATGGTCTATCAGCTTAGTCACCCCACCATTTGAGGCGCCTCAAAATTCATGTGTTCAATATTAGCCATGTCTCCCTGACCTGAAACGCGCTCCAGCCGCTGGGTTGGGCAAATAGCTTGGGCACCCCACCATGGTCCAAAATGGCCACGGCTCTGTCCAGCTGAGGCTGAAACAGAACCCTCAAGCCGAAGCGGTAAACATGGCATTAATGTTTTTTGTCACCTGGAATGCGCTTCTGCCATTGGGTTGGGCAAACAGCTTGGTCACCCCACCATGGCCCACAATGGCCAAGGCTCTGTCCAGCTGAGACTGAAACAGAACTCTCAGGCTGTAATGGCGGGACGAGGAGGTTTTACAAAAGAAATGAGGAATGAGGCCTTCCCAGCTACGACTGAAACAGAACCATTGTACTGATGGTGGAAAATCAGGGAGGGAGCGGAGAGGGTTGGATTCGGATGAAAGGCTCGGTCCATCTGAGACTGGAAAGGGATCCTGAAGCTGAAGTGGTAGACATGCATGGAGAGGGACGAAACAATGGTTAAACATCAAACATACACTGGGACAAGATTAGATGGCATAATTGGTCGTCCCACTTATTACATGAGTATCTGGTGAGTTAATTACAGAAGATTTTGACAGGCACTAGGAGAAAGTGTGTTTAGTTGACAAAATGACATGATGTTGCAATTAGAGAACGAGAAGAATGATTTCCTAAAAAGGGGAGTTTGAGAGCGTGGGAAAGGGAAGGCGAAAGAGAGTGAAATAATGGAAACATTGATGCCTAAGGCAGCGGTTTGGGAAGACAAAAAAAGGCAAGTTGCACACAGACTAGCATTGGAAACAATTAGGTAAAGAAGACATAAAAAGGCCACTAAGAAAGCAAAGGGAAAACAATTATGCAAAGAAGAAGTAAAAAAGCAACACTCACGATCCGAGGCTGTTGTTAGAAACTGCACATACAAAGCCAGTCCACAGGGTGAGTATGGGAGGGAGAAAGGGGGGAAAAAGGGAAAACAAAGGGTTTCAATACAAACATTCAGTTTCAAAAAGGCTCAGAACGGACCAAAAGAACGGAAAGCAATTGAAACATGAGAAGAAACAAGGAATTAAGAAGAAGGAGGGTTGCACTAGCAAGAATGAGGATACAAATAGCAAACCCTAGAAGGGTTGTACTCGCTATAGATCACCCCACTACAGGCTAGAGCATAATATTCTGACACACCCCCATAGCCAAAGTGGGGTGTAATCAGCAGAGCAAGCAAAGCAGTACAAGCTCAGGGTGGATCACAATGTCACCACACATTCTGAGCACAAGTTCAAGAAGCAATAGTTTAAAGTTCACAATTATGAGCAAAGCTAGAGGCTATCGCAGAGGGCAAGTGAGGAGGAGGAGAGACTGTGGGGGAGAGAAGATGGGAGGCGACTGCTGACGCTGCAGACACACAGACGAGCTGCTGGCTCAGTGGCTACCGGAACAACGCTCCGGACTACTGGGGTAACTGGCCCCGCGGCTAAAAGTAGCGGCAGACGAGCAACGGACCCACGGGCGACTGGCGACTACCGGAGATTGTAGCCTCCGGACTGCTGCTGCTGCTGACGACAAGACTGCTGCCTCCACTCGACCTCCCCCAAACAGTACCACCCCTCCTGACACACACCCGCTGCTACACCGCTAGCTCCACTCCCCCTTCACCCCCCCTTAGCACCACTCCAACGGCTCCAACAAGTCCACCCCCCCTCAGCGGCAGCTGTAGCACAGGGAGACGGAGGAGGAGGAGGAGCAGGGAACGGCACACAGTAGTTTCACCCCCATACCCCTCACCCCCAAACCCTAATTCAGGAGAACGGGCTGTAGGAGGGGTGCGGCGCCAGCAGAAGCACGGGGGACAGCGGGGAGGGCAGGGGCAGCGAGGAAAGGGCCGCCCACGGGCCTGGCACAGCCTCCCGAACCGCGCGCAGGCGGCCCGAGCCGCGCGCGGGCCTGGCGCAGCCCGTACGGGCCGCGCGCGGGTCTGGCGCAGCCCGTACGGGCCGCGCGCGGGTCTGGCGCAGCCCGTACGGGCCGCGCGCAGGCCTGGCGCAGCCCGTACGGGCCGCGCGCCGGCTGTACGGGCCGCGCGCAGGCCACGACGGGCGACGGGGGGCGACGCGCGGGTCCCCGTCGCCCGTCGCAGCGCCTCCCGAGGGCGACGCGGCGAGTGACGGGGTAGAAGCCCGCCGCGCGCCTCGGGGCGCACAGCGGGCAGAGAACCGCCGCGCGCCACGGGCGCACGGCGGGCAGAAAACCGCCGCGCGCCTCGGGGCGCACGGCGGGAAGAAAAACTGCCGCACGCCACGGGGCGTGCGGCACAGAAGGTAGTAGTGGAAGTTGCAGCGGAAGCAACGAGGTGGTGAGCCCACCCACAGGATCGATCCAAGGGGATCGACCTGCTCTGATAGCATGTGAAAGTTTAAGAGGAATTAAGAAGAAGGAGGGTTGCACTAGCAAGAATGAGGATACAAATAGCAAACCCTAGAAGGGTTGTACTCGCTATAGAGCACCCCACTACAGGCTAGAGCATAATATTCTGACAAAACACTGTGTTTTTCTTGTTATCAAAATGCACATCTTAAACAGGTGGGAGACGTGTACAAGAAAAGGTACACTATAACTTATGTAATTTCTTGAAACGATTGTACAAGGGAAGCACTATGAGGGCAGAGGCACACCAAACCATCATACCAAGCTTAGCGGCCAACGCTGTACTGATGATGACCTTGGGATGATCGACGTCACTCGACGCGTCTCTCGCATCCCTTGATGTCGTTTCATCTGCTTCTCCTCCGTCAATGCTTCCGTCCCTAGCTTCCATCGCCGTGTAATTCTGCTTCAGTAAACTCTTTACTCGGCTTGTTAGAAGTAAGCCCAGCAGCAGCAAATTGATTCGAAAGGTCGTGGAACAGGGCTTCCGTAAGAATCGTTATCGGTGGCACTATAATTTTTGTCGAAGGCGGGGAATAGGAGGAGGCGGGAGGTTGCAGGTTGTAAAGACTTGACGCCATAACGGAAATCCGTTCGCGAATATGCAGTGTCACACGTCAAAACGATTTAGAAATAAAGGCGTGACGAATCTGACTCTCAGGAGAAATCATATAAGAGCAAGGGCCGTCCAATGCGGTGCTTTACCTAACTGGATCCTGTAAAATCCTCGCGAGCCTGACGCTATGTATAGGTCTTGAGAACTGAAGAAGTGGGTGTCTTAGAATTTCGTTTTCGTTCGTTTCTGTGAGATACCGTATTTACCCGGGTAATAGACCCGGGGGTCAAATCCTACCCCGGAAAAAAAGGGGGGGTGGGCTATGAGGTGGATATTAATGCAATAGACCCGTGGTCTAATCCTATATGCGTTCTTTT